ATCTGCGTCTCATTTCCATTGGCAGGTTGTTTTAACAGAAAAAAAATAAAAGGTAGGAGTAGGTTATAAACAGGGACTGCACCCTGATAGTGCGCTGCAAGCATTTTCTGGGCTCCTCGGAAGCAGGCCTACATATTCGAGGAGCTCCGACTCTCTGGCTGTAACAAAACTTTCTAAAATGTGATTTATCTCATGAGTTGGTTTGCTCTAAAGTGTAATCAATTAATTAAGCTCCAGGCCCACAGCTGGCACCCCACGTTCTCTGATATACTATTTTTAACAGGGGGGCATTTTGCTGATGAAAGGTTTTGCTCCTACTTAACACCCCACACATTTTAAGAATTTTCGAGACCGGAACTTCTGGGTGAAGTTGGTTTGAATGATTTCCATCAAAACAAATTGAATTCCAACACACAGAACTAAATGGCTTTGTAAATTGTCTTTTTCCTTAATTTCAATACTTTTTCTTTTTCATTGTCTTTTAACTGAGACACCTTTGATCTTCTTGGTATCATGATGGGTTTTTATGACTCCTAGCTTCAAGAATCCAGAAGCAAGGTTGTGAATTTGTGCACTGTTGTGAGCAGAAAGATGGACTCTGCTAGTGGGATGCCCAAAGAAGAAATGCCCTTCGCTGTACCCTTTCTCTGGAGCATTATTCTGTCTGTGCCAAGGATTATTCTTGTTATACCGTCTCTCAGAGTGATTGAAGAAGCAATTTTTTTCTTTTCTCTGATATGCTGCTTGATATTCTGAATGCTGATCACGCTGTTCAAAGTGTCTTCAATCTATTCATTTCACTGACCCCAGAGAGGGTGATCATGTTCATAGAAAGGTTAAATTTTGGGCCAAGTTAGAGCCTTTCTTTTTAAAAAATCAAGCAAATAACAGATCCAGTCATGGGTACCTAATTTAGGTTTCACATTTATTCCTGACTTACATCCATTTTAGTTACTAGTGTGGTATTTTAAAAGGCCGCCTGATACTCATTTTTAAGGAATCTAAAGATATGGAGCGAAGGAATGATAAAGAAGGAATGGGATTTCTTTTTATTTCAGAGCTATCCACGATGGTTCTTCCCCAGCCCTTCTCGTCTCAGGTTTTCTGATTCTGTTCCTTCCAGGCCTCCAGTCAAGCTTCCATGCCATTCACCACTGAGTCTGTCTGTATTCTTACCTTGGCCCATTTCCTTTCCACAAGAAGTGGATGATAGCAAATAATAATAATAAAACAGTAAAATTATATAAAAATAACTTTGTACAAGTCTAGCCGCATACATTTAAAAAGTTGGTTGGAATAGATAATTCTCTCAAAAATATGTATGTACATCGAGGTTTGACTCAAGGAGAAGTAGAAAATATCAAAAGATCAATAACTATACGGGCCGGCCGAGTGGCGCGATGGTTAAGAGCTGGCTTGGGACGCCAGAGGGCCCCGGTTCGGATCCCACATATGAGGGCCAGTGACACTGCCCTCTACAGCTAAGATGCTGAACAACAGCTCAACCTGGAGCTGGGCTGCCGTGAGTTGCTGGCGACGGCATAGGCTGCAGTCCCTGTGGCAGTGGGTTGCCATGTATGTAGCCAGCAGCCAGCGTGAGCGGCCAGCAGCCGCAGTGAGCGGCCGTCCAGAAGCCGGTGACTGATCTGCCTCGCCCGGGAAGAGCGCAATGATGGTGCCAACTTGGGCCAGTGAAGCAACGTCCTCCACAACTAGACTGAACAACAAAACGACAGCAACTTGTCTGTTCCCCTTCCCCTAATTCCCCAGCACTGTTCCCATCCCCCCAATTACCTAATAAAAATCTTAAAAAAAAAAAAGATCAATAACTATGGAAGTCACTGAAAGTGTTGAGAGAAAATTAGCTCCAACACTGTCATTGAGGGCCTAAGGATTTTTAAATTGAGTTTCTTTAAACTTTTAAGATAATTCTCAGGCTATATAATGTTTCTGTGAATTTAGAAAAAGTGATACTCATGCACTTGGTATTCTTTGGGGTAATATTGATTGACATTGCTGTATTAATATAACCCATGCCTTCTGCAGTATAATGAATAAAGATTCCAGGCCTAGGAGAGAGCGTGGGCTTCGAGGTTGGGATGGTTGAAGAATAAGAAGGAAGGGGGTAGTTCCCACAAATTATGTAAATCCCAAATATTAACTGCTTAGATAAGATGGGTAGGACCTTCCTCATCCATTAACTGTCCAGTGTTTGATTCTCTCATAACACCCTGTGCATATCTCAGTTTACTGGTTGTATCCATTCCTTGATGATTCATTTCATGGTGGAGTCACTCGCGAGAGGTGAGCTTGAGAGTAAGGAATGAGCCTTATTCTTCTTTATATCACTAGTGCTTTTACAGTGCATGCCATTGATAGGTCCTCAATACATGTCCATTGAGTGGATGCATAAATGGGTGAGTGAATGAATAAGTGAACAAAAAGGTACTCCATTCATTTTCTGAAACTAGCAGAAACCTTCATTTTAAAACAGAACCAAAATGAAAGCTATAGACTTAGGTCACTTATGAATATGTATGCAGAATCCTAAATGAAATTCCAGCAAATCAAACTCAACAGTACATTAAAAGAATCACCCAGTATGGCCAAAGAGAATTTATCCTGAAAGCACAAGCAGAGTTTCCTATTAAGAAAACTATTGCTTGGCAGTATGGAAATGTAAAGTGTTACAGCCATTTTTGGAAAGCAATCTAGCAATATTATTAAAGTTTAAAAAAATATGTCTCTTTTGAGCCAGATATTCCAGTCCTGGGAATCCATCCCAACAGAAGTAAAAGCACAAATGACAGAAGCAAAAGGACATATGTACAAAAATGTTTACTGCATAATGGTTCAGAGTGGCAAAAAAGTGGAAACCGAGTTAATCCCATCAGAGGGGAGGAGCTGAGTGTATGATGGTACACCCACACTGAGCTACTCCACAGGATTTCCATCAAGTATTATTGAGTGATAAAAAGCAGAGTGCATAAAGGTATATCTAAGAAGTTCCCATTTTGCTAAACAATAAAAACAAAGCCCCAGAAGGAAAACAAATTCCCATATCTGTATATTTAGTAGTTGAATAGCTGTGAATGATATTCCTTTCTTGACTTGAGTTTCCTTCTTTGTAAAATTGGGGTGATGATAATGTATAACTTGCAAGATTTTTGTGAAGATTAAATGAATTAATACATGTAAATGCATGCTACATAGAAAGTAACTGAGAAATATTGGCGATGATGATGATGATGATGATGATGATGATGATGGTGATGATGATGTTACTAGACCTGAATAGAATTTGCAGAATTCAAAGAAAAATATGGAAGAGCACATCCTAGATTATTCACCTGGTTACTTTGTGTGTTGATGGGGGGCTGATGTGGGTTGAAGGGAGAAAGAAGGTTCAAGTAAATAAGGAAAAGAAAATCAATGTATGTTTCACACTGATGCATTTATTTAAAATTATGGCATATGGAACTACATATAAAGAAATAAAATTAAAATACTTATGAAAGGAATACAAGCATATCAAATCGATAGACCCAGTAAGAAAATATAGTACACAGCAGTTCGATGCCAGCCAGAGCTGAGCAGCCGCTAAGCTACCAATAGGTAGCAGGATGGCTCAGCTAAAAAAAAAAGAAAAGAAAATATAGTATAAAAGAATATATGCTGAAAAGACATTGACTAAAATCTAATCCCATTTCTCCTTAATGATAAGTCTAAGAATACTTTGAAAGGTGTTTATTTTTAGATATAAAGGATAAATATATTAATCACCAGCCATCATTAACTCTGAAGGAAAAACAACAGGGTTTTTTGTGTGTATTTTCCGGAATACTAATTCCAAAGTGGAATAAAAAAGGATTCTATAGTTGTCATGATGTGGGAACATGTTATTCACAGGTGGCCCATACCTGAACCATAATGGATGTCATCATGGCAAGCGTCTAAGTACTTTTTGTACTTAGTACTTAATACTTAGTACTTAAGTGCTTAAGTACTTAGTACTTAGTAGTAAAAATGTAAGTACATTTTTACCTAGAACCCTAAGGCCTCTTCTTCAGAGGATCCTTCTCTGGCCGTGTTACTTAACGTACATCCCCTTTCCTCCATTCCGTCACACTGCTCTATTTATTGCCTTCAACTATCACCATTTATTAAGAGACCGCCACTGAAAGGCAGTGAAATCTTAAGAATTTTCTCCTTATGTGTTCTAGTTCTCTGTGTTGTTTAGACTATAGTTCCTTTGGCTGAATCAATCTTCCTCGCTAACGTTTTTCTTCTTAAGGAATTTTTGAAGAAGTTTGTCCATAAAAAATCCATTTCTGGGGACATTGCAGCTGAGAGCCATGATTATGTAATTTCTGCTGTAGGGATTGCTTGTTAGAGGTATTGGCTCACTGTGGAATTTCATGGCTCGGTTTTCCACACTTGCAAAAAGAAGGCAGTTATTCTTGCATCCCATCTTTCCTAGAAGTGTTTTGTGCATAATAGAACGCATTTTCATGAAGTCCTTTGAGTTTCCCTGATGGAGTGAGATTGACATTGAATGCTATCAACATTCAAAGGCCACTTTTCTTTCTTGTTAACTTGATAAAGCCCTGAGTGTGGCCAAACAGCTAAGTTATCTCTTAGTGCTCTGTGACAAGATTTGTTTAAGCCTGTGCCTTCTTTTTACTTCCTTTTCTTTGGTGGGTGGGGTGGTCAGGAAATGTTTGCAGAGTTTCATTATTTTCCTCCCCTTCATGTGATCACAAATTAACTGTGCTAAGACTTCATGCTTGAGCAGAAATCCCGAGTAGATAAAAATGTATGTTTGCCCCTCATCAGCTGGGCTGAGTTTCTGTTTTGTGCTTCAGTGATTATAGCCACAGTCAGATGTTCTGATTGCTGGCATTCCTACTAGCTATCCTTAGGTAAAAATCTGTGTGTCTTGAACTGATAACCACAGATTGGCTGTTGAACCATCTTCATTCATATACTTTCTCCTCCAGGTCTTCACGAACATGGAAGACATAAAAGTCCGTGAAATGCAGATTTTTGACTACAGGAAACAAATCGCTGAATCAGAGACTAAATTAAAACAGCAACAGAACCTGTATGAAGCTGTGAGGTCAGACAGGAATCTGTATAGCAAGAATCTGGTGGAGGCTCAGGTAAAGAATATACTTATGTCTTTACATTTTGATTCCCCCCCCCCCATCCTGGGTTTAAAGCAGTTTCTGTTATCCTAATGGCAGAATTTAGAATAGATCAAGGAAAAGTCCTGTGGAATTCATCTGAAAGAGAAGATGAGTGTATGCAGAACTCTCACAATAAAAAACAACAATAATAATAAAAAACAACAACCCACTAATAACTTAAAAACTGCCACACAAAAAAAACAAATGGTCCACAGAACTCTCACATTGTTAGACATGGAAATGACACAACTTGATAGGATGTGAAGATGAGGGTCCTGCTTTTAATTATTATGTAGAATTGCCATTCTTCTGTTTCTAATTTTTAAAACTGCTAATAGCTGCTGTGACTCAGAGGGGAGCAGCATGCTCTTGTCGTTTAATCACAGAGCTTTGCTTTGTAGTCTTTTAGTTATAATGTTTGTTTTGTTCCAATTTCTCTCTGGTAAAATGAGGAATTTGTGTGTGTGTGTGTGTGTGTGTGTGTGTGTGTGTGTGTGTGTGATATTCATGATGCATACCTTGCATATGTTGCATGAGAATATTTTGAGAGTTAATGTTATAAAGTACTTTGAACTTGTCCAGTTGTAATTGGCCAAGAGACCATTGTATTGAGAGAGTTTTCCATAAAAGCTCTTGACTGTATATTGATCTTCTATAGGGAGGGCGATGTCTATTTAATTCCCTTTCAAACATTTCTCCTTGCATTTTGTTAGGATGAAATAACAGAAATGAGGAGAAAATTAAAGGTTATGACCCATCAGGTAGATCAGCTGAAAGAGGAAATCTCTGCCAAAGAGTCAGCACTTGTGAAGCTACATCTGGAACAGCAGCGGATAGAGAAGGAGAAGGAAACGCTGAAGGTACAGATCTTATTATAAAAGCGATGGACCAATAGTCCACCTATGTGACCCACATAAGGCAGGCTTCAAACTCACTGGAGGGAACAGAGGGCAGGGAGAAGAACCCAGGCACCAGGAGGACGGGCTCTACCAGCTGCAGGTCAGACTCCCTCACGGGGAGCACTCCCAGGTAAACGGGAGGAGACCAGTGGAGATGCACAAGCACCTAATTCACCTAGGCTGGCCACCATCACATCAACGGGAGCGAACCTCGCAGGTCCACAGTGCCCAGGAACCTGGAGCTTGCAGGCTTTCTACAGTCCCTTTACGTTCATAACCCTAGTCCAGCCTTTGTGTCTACATCCAACCCTTCCACACTCCTCCCCGGGCCCTCTATAAGCCAAAGATGGCAAGACCTGTTTCCCCTCTCCTCCTAATTGTTTACTTCATGTGCACATGACTGTTCTGCCTGCAATATCATTAGCTGCTGGGTATCAAGCTTTGTCCTCACTCGATTTGCCCTCAGCCATGTTCATAGTTCACCTTACCTCTGTGGTCTAAGAACTCCTCCAGGGAACCACCTCTGACTTCACATATGTGCTAAACCTTATCATTTTAAACCTACTAATTTAGGGCATTCTATGTCTGCTAACATAGAGACCATCTCCAAGAATACATACCAAGTAGTTCCTCTATTTCAAACCCTCAAACCAAATACGTTTTACTATACACATTTACTAAACCTAATCTGTTTTCCTTTTCCTGTCGGATCCAATAGATTTCCCTCCTAATCCATTTGATCAAAGAATTAAAAAAGGAACTTTTAAGAGGATGATGCCACTTTTATTGTGAAAATGTGTATTCAGAATACTCATGGATGCTTATGAGCAACTGTAGGAACTATCTACAATACATAAGAGACTGGGTACCTTGGTTTCTGCACATATTAGCTTTCAAAGATAGGAACTATCTTGAAAATGTGTATCTAGTGTTGGACAGATTTCATGCCATATATCCTTGATTCCAAGACACCATAGAATGAAATATGCACTCTCAATAATGGGTTTTGTCAACTAATGATAGGTCTTCATGGAAATAGAACTACTACATTAAATTGACTTAAAGCACATTTGGTTTGAGAAAGATTAAAATGTAACAAAGGTGCCTTTACAAAAAAGAAATATGGTAATTGATACATTTACCTGTCTGAGACTTTCATCTCCTAACACCAGCTTATGATAGAAAAAGAATAGAAAAATCTGCATTAAAATTTATTTACATATCCTTCACACTACTGAATTGTACACTTAAAAATGGTTAAGATGATAAATTTTATGTTATGTGTACATATAAAGAAACATGAATACATTTTCTAAAATTTGAAAATGTCCTGCATCTTGCCCTTATTCTCTTTGTTTGAAAGGATAGTTTTATAGAAGGTAGCTTGTTCTACCCTGAAGCCTGCAGTGGAATGGGTTTGAATGATTTAGAAGAATCTTATTATAAACATTGCTTTACCCAAGGGCCTCATGGCTTCAGTGTCACTCTCCTTTTAGAGGATGCCATTGATCCTCATCTCTTACTTTCCCAAGTAATGCTCTATTCAAAAGATTAATTATTACCTTATAATGGGGTCCAAGGTGGAACTAACTGCCTTCTACAAATCCTGCTTTAAAATAAGCAATGTCCTATGTAAAAGAGCCATTATTCCTAATTCCTTAGAGTTTGACTTCAGTTAACATTTGTTTCATTTATGCCCTCTATCACCAAGCATCTACACATATGGTTCCAAAGAAGCATCATAATAAAATAAAATTAAGGCTGATGGGGCCCTGTGTTTTGGTCCTGGGCCAGCAGAGTTGGCAGCTGGTGCACATGAAAGATGATTAAAGTGCTTCTGCTCTGGAAAGTCCATTCTAAATGGGGAGTCCTAGGTCTGGATAGCTTTGGGTCATCGATTAAAGGAAGATGATTGGTTTGGACTTACTGTTAAACTAGGATACTTTTCCCCCCAGCATTTCCCATTAAGGCAAGAATGGGGGACAGAAAAAGGATGCCAGCTTGATTTATTATTTGAGGTTATCCAAGGGTGACTTGAAATGGTGCTTTGAGTGGATAATTTTGGCCTATCATTAAGGCCATTTGACATGCTTTAGAAAAACATGATAGCTCAAATGTTGAGTTTCAGCCTTTTGACTTTTTTAGCCTCACGCCTGAATTATGTTCCCCACAAGTCTTTGGATTTCATGCATCGGAAGCTCGCAAACAAAAATCCTGGACGAAAGGGGAGACTTTCTAGCAACTTTGCTCCGAGAGACATTTAGCTTATTATTATGAGTTCTACAAAGCTATGTGGGCACATAACCCTCCGGGAAGGGCAAGCCCTTGCCTGTTTGGTAGACCAGAAGATGCCTTTTGCTAGGACAGCCCAATGTACTGCTTCTCCAAGCCAGCAGACAGACAACTGTCCAGAGTAGGTCATCCCCATTCTCATGTATCCCTCTCAAAAGGAAAAACCTTGAGCCTTTCATGTTTCTTTTCTTTTTTCGGTTGCTACCAGGCTGTACTGACTCCTCAGGATTCTAGCCGTTGTCAGCACATTATGGTTAAGACAGAATGTCAGGAGTTCTCTGTAGACGTTGTTGCATCTGTGTCCATCTGTCCATTCTGTCCCGGTCTTGTTTCATCAGCACTGAAGGAGCCTTCCAGTCCTAACAAGCCCCTGAATCTGTCTCATCACCTCCCAATCATCCCGCATCAATCTGACAGTACTTTGATTCTTGATGAATAATTCAGCAACAAATTCTCTATGTCCAGAGCTCAGCATCACATTAGCGACCAGCTTCAGGGCACCATAGCTGTTTACTTACTGGGCTCTCTAGGATGACATGGATGGGAGCTGTCACAGAGAGCGAAGAGAGAATGCCTAATTATTGTCATGGCTAGAAGGCTTCAGGCAGTCCTATTTGTTTTGTTAGATGTAAACAAATGGTTCCTGTGAAATCCAGTGAACGTTGTGATCATTTATGAATGGGTGAAACTCCCATGAGTATGGTTCTTGAGATGTGATTTCCTCGTATGCCCACAGCCAAATTAGATGATATATATTTCATAAACACCAACCACAAAACTGTGCAAGTGTAGAACCATTGACTAAAAAGTGTGTCCAGCCATTGTATTACAACTTCATGCCACCAGTAACACTTTGAGAAATGCTGATACCTTGGGTCCCACCTGGAACATTGTTTGATGGGTGTTGGGGTGCATAGCAGTTGTTACCATCTTTCCTGTGTGAGACAGCTCAGATTTATAGCTACTGAATGCATTAGACCCAAGGTATTTTGTTGATGTTAACATTTGCTGCCAGTGTCTAATGCCACATCTTGTTTACAGCCCATAAATTTATGACATAAGGAGACTACTCAGAATTTTGATATATTATGAAAAAAAACACCCAGCAATGCCAAACGCGCGAATGGTTTTACATTTCAGACAGATACTTTTACACACCGTTGATTGCATTTTAATGTAGTAGGGGTTTCATTTTGTTCTGCTGATGGATTCTGATCAGCTCTTGGCACTTGGGAACAGGGAAGTGAATGTTGCACATCTGGGAAAAGAAAAGTTTTATTAAAAAAAGCATGAACCAAGCAGGTATTTTATTGCTGTCTTCACTGTCACCTTAAATGATTATAGAAATAGAAAGGCTGTTCTAACAGGCAGTCCCCCAAAGTGGTAAATGCAAGGCCAGGTCTTTTCTCAATAAGTATTTCTTTTTGTTTATCCCTGAACCAAAATGTATTTCATGAATGAACAAGCAAAACCTCCTAAAAGAAGTCCTTGGCTTGAGAGTAGCTGCCTGCATTTAGTTGGTGATATTACATGTCTGTTTCTAGGTGTGCAGTATCTTCTACTGTTTGGGTGAGTTTGAGGCATGGAGTTAATGACTCTTGGTCTTCATGGATTAAAGGCAGACCTCATCGAGAGCAGGGTTGGCTCAGAGGTACTTGCAAACATGGGGTTTTCTATCATCCCAGTGACATTTCTGGGTGGGTGAAGGTGGGAGTGCCAATACTTCTTTGAAAGAGAAAATTATTACTTTTTCACTGTCATATGTTGATTGGCAAGTCATTGAAAAGTCGGAGCCTTAATATTGTCTTACTGTCTCCCTTGCGGTTCCTGGCATGGATGAACGCAGAGCTCTCCTCCTGTTTGTTTCTTCTTGTGTGGACCTGGTCTGTGATAAAACCTGTCCTTCTCATTTTGGCATGGAACCACTCAAAGACATATTCTTCTTTCCTTTAATTTGAACACCTCTGTGGATCCCCATTGCCTGCTCCCTACAGTGGATGGCCTACAAAGCCCTTCCCAGGCTAGCTCAGCTGTTTTATCAGTCATACTTCCTGCTGTTCCTGACCTAATGCTGTAATCCAGCCACTTGGGATGCTTTGTTGTCTGGTGGACACTCAGGTACTTTATAGTTTGCATGCCTTTGTTCATACCAGCTTGTCCACTTTGGAAATATCTGTTAACTGCCAAGGCCCTGACTGGTTCTTCCATCTAAACCCCAGGCAGAAATAAGGACTTATTCCTGTGTATGCCCATGTCCCTTTTCATACTGTAGATGGCATTTCCACAGTGTAGTGTGGTTGGTTATATTTGTCGGCTCCAATGGATGGGCAATCCCTCACGTCTTACTCGTCTCCTGTGTGTGACTTAGAACTATTTATTGCATGAGATAGCTGAGGGAGCATAAGCTTCAGAACCAAAAGATCTAGGCTGGAATCTCAACTCTGCCACTTACTAGCTGTGTGACCTTGGGTGAGTTAATTTGCTTTTCTTTATTTCTGTAATAGCATTTGTGAAATGGGGATAAGTGTAGCTATGCAAAATACCTGATACCATGCCAAGGATATCGTAGGTTACAAATATACTTGTGGAAATGCAGTGAATGTGTCCTCTGATGGGAGGAATTTTCCTTCTGAAACTTACCAGCCCATAGCAACCTTTCCGCATTACTCTTACAACTTCCATGTAACCTTAAGAGTGTCAAGATCTGAGCTTTCCCAGGAAGCCTACCTGACAAACTCAGTCCTCTCACCTCCTGTAACATCAACTCACTGTATTTGTGATAATAAAGATGTGGAAACATTATTGCTTGAACTTGTTAATATGTTCCTAATCCTTGTATATCTTATCTTCTCATCTAGATTGGAAGCATTTTAGGAGCAGGATCTACCTATCTTTTTATACCATGATATCTCTTCTGTTCCATCAAGATGTTTTATGAGATAGATAGTTGTTATCTTTATTAATTTAATTTTTGCTTGAAATGGCCTTCATCTCGGCAATTGATGGCTGGTGGTACGAGGACCATTATAGGAGCTGGTACATACAAAGACCCCCATCCCCAGGCTCACCCCCACATCCTCTTTTATTCTAGAACTCACTATTCCTTGTGAGTTCTCCCTGTGTTTAGCCAATAAGAGAAGTGCTGTTGAATACCAATGAAGCCTCTGCTACATATATATAGAAAAATGATGGAAATCCCTCAAGGGTACGACTCATAGAATAAACATGATCACTGTAATGTGCATTGCTGTTTCTTTATGGGGTGTGTGCACGTGCGTGTGTGTGTGTGTGTGTGTGAGAGAGAGAGAGAGCGAGAGAGAGAGAGAGAGAGAGAGAGAGAGAGAGCAACTTGTTTTGCTTGTGAGAGTGATCAAACCATGTTAAAGGAAACATCAGAGGAAAGTATTAAAAGCACACTGTACATCTCATTCTTGACCCTGCAGTCCTGGTTTGTGCTGTTACAGAGTGAAATTTGTCCCTATCTTTCATTCTTTGTCAGGCCGAGCTGCAGAAGCTGAGACAACAAGCCCTGGAGACCAAACACTTCATTGAAAAGCAAGAAGCTGAAGAGAGGAAACTCCTGCGAATTATCGCGGAGGCTGATGGGGAGAGGCTGAGACAGAAGAAGGAATTAGACCAGGTAGGAACATCTCACCAGACCCACAGACCTCATCAGCAGTCGCAACTGGTTGATTCAACTCCTCGCGAATCCTCCTTCTTCCCTAAGCTCTTTCAGTCAGTCTATTGGAAGAACAGCAGCAGAGTCTTACCGCTTATCGTGTGTCAGTTGCTCCTCTAGGCATTGGAGATTAACTGACGAACAAGAAAAGTAGGTCCCTGTCCCTACGGAGCTTACATTCTAATATAATTGCTCACATAGAATTGCAATTAATAATTACATAATTTGAGGGGCTGAAACCTATATGCTTTCAGAGATCCGGCAAGTTAAAAGAAAAGAGACAAGTTGGCCAGTATAATACAGTAAGGAGTGGTGGAGCTTGGCAAGAGCTAGCTCACCATAAAGTCATTTAAATGTAAACATTTATAAAACAATGGGTTGGAAAAAAACAACCAAACAAACACCTATGGGCCAAGGATTATTGGATCATTATTATTACGGATTATTTGTTGACTCTTTCTCTTTCCAACCAGGACTGCAAACGCTCATGGGAGGAGGCCAATGCTGATTGCCCAGCAGGCTATTTTCTTTTTTTTTTTTTTAAGATTTTTATTGGGGTATTGGGGGGATGGGAACACTGCTGGGGAATTGGGGGAAGGGGAACAGACAAGTTGCTGTAGTTTTGTTCTTCAGTCTAGTTGTGGAGGACGTTGCTTCACTGGCCCAACTTGGCACCATCATTGCGCTCTTCCCGGGTGAGGCAGATCAGTCGCTGGCTTATGGACGGGCCGCTCACTGCGGCTGCTGGCCGCTCACGCTGGCTGCTGGCTACACACCGTAGCCCATGGCAACCCACTGTAGCAGGGGCTGCAGCCTATGCCGTCACCGGGGACTCACGGCAGCCCAGCTCCAGGTTGAGCTGTTGTTCAGCATCTTAGCTGTGGAGGGCAGTGTCACTGGCCCTCATATGCGGAATCTGAACCAGGGCCCTCTGGCGTCCCAAGCCAGCTCTTAACCATTGCGCCACTCAGCCGGCCCCCAGCAGGCTATTTTCAATTTTCAATCCCCGCCCACAGGGGGCCTAGCACACATGGGCATTGGTTAAATATTCATTCGCTGAATGAATGCTGCTGCCTTAATGAAAAGTGAGAGCTTTTGGCCCCTGGTGGCCATGCCCTTTCGTACCCTTCTAGGTCGTCAGCGAGAGAGATATCCTCGGGTCACAGCTTGTTCGGCGCAATGATGAGTTGGCTTTGCTGTATGAGAAGATCAAGATCCAACAGTCGGTGCTGAATAAAGGCGAGAGCCAGTACAACCAGAGGGTGGAGGACATGAGAATCCTCAAGCTAGAGATCAAGAAGCTTCGCCGGGAAAAGGGGATTCTTGCCAGGAGTGTGGCTAATGTTGACGAACTCAGGTAACAGGAGACCCCTCAGAACTGAGGGCACAGCAGTCTGTGGGGAGCTCCCCAAATGACCTTGTGTCCCTTTTGTTGGTCATTGAAGGTCTTTATCAAGTTGTATAAGATAATTTTGTTCTATGCTGAAATTATTAGCAAATAACGAGAACAACTTTTTTCCATCACACAGAATCTACGTTGTGCCCATTGTATGTCACAAGAAATGAACTAGCTCCCTTTCAGGGGAATATCAGTGAGTGCAAAAAGATAAAAAAAACAACAACAAAACACAAAATTTTGTTCTGGGTTTTAAAAAAGAAATTTCAAGTCAAATCACAACACACAAAGTACTTCTAATTCAGAAAAAAATTTCTCCCAATGAGCGCTTTAGAATTTCTTTAATAAGGCAGTAGGCAAGAGAGGGAGCATCAATATTTAAATTTAATCCTGGTAACATTCGCACATCTTTTTCTTGGAATTATATACTGAATGGAAAGAGGGGACAAATCTAATTTTATCACTATTTGAAAACTCTGTTTCCTTAGCAGGCGGCCAAATTTTATATCTCACTCTTGATTTATCTTTTGCAGCTTTCACTTTAGCTTAGTGCGCCTTCTTCTTGCTTTAAATCTTACATTATACAAGACGTACTTTCCCTTTGGGAAAACATCACTGTGTTTTATATAGGCAATTGCAGCAAACCAAATAAGAGGTCTGGTGTTTTCTCAGTAACCATCCTTATTCCCCACAGACTTGTAGATGAACAGTATCCTTGATGACCTTGGAACAAGGACCCAGTTTGGGTCTCCTTCTTAAATTGATTGAGTTAGAAAAGAGTTTTGATATTTAGATACAGTGAATATTTTTAGGAATAGCAGGGGAAGTTGCCACTATCAAGGATGGATCAATACTCTTTTTTTTCTAAGAGTTGCTTATATTTCAGATGATGAAAGTAATACAAACTCATTGTAGAAAATGTGGGGAATGCAGAAAAAATATAAAGAAGGGATTGGAAAAATCACTCATAAGTTTACTACCCAGAGATACCATCATTGGCATTTTGGAGACAAATGAATTCATTCTAAGTAGCTATTGAATGATCTCTGAGACCATTACTAAACTTGCCAGGCATGAGTTATTTTTATTACATACACAAAGGACCAAATTCTACCCATTTCTAGTCAATATTGCTGGTTTGTTGATAATAGATTTTATTTTATTTTTCAATGGGAAGACAACTTAATAAAGATATCAGAGGCAAGCAGGCATGAATTCCAGCCTTAGCCTTGCCACTTACAAGCTGTGTGACCTTGGGCAAATCACTTAACTTCTCTGAGCTTTAGACTTGTACTTAAAATTAAACACGAAAACACACGTATTGTGCCTCCCACAGAGTCTAGTACAAAACAAGCTGTCAATAATGGTAGCTAATACTCTTGCCCTCCTCTTTTGATGGCACTCTAGAAAATAGAAGTATTAAAAATATGCTTTTAATTCTAAGTAGTTTGTTCTGAACTCCCTGTTGAGTGAATATCATGCAGTTAATTCTAATGGTTTGTCTTGCTAATGAGGAGAAGTTGTATTATGGATTTAAATGAAGCAATTAAGTAAAAGAGATGGCATAGCATTAATAATCTGCACACTCACAGCAGCCGAGGACAGGTAATTCCTTATTGCCCATCCTAATTGCCCATGTTAATGCCAATGCCTGCTTTTTCTCTACCCTCCACCCCCAACAAAGTGTCTTGTTCAGTAGGGTGGCAGCCAGCTCATGGGGTACCATGGATGGTTGAGGCACATTCCCTGCCAACTAACTAGAGTTACCTGCAGACAGTAGAAGTATGTTTGGGCCAGAACTAGTTCTTCAGGACTATTTCAGCCACCTGTGTAGTTGTGGAACATGAGATAAAATAACACTCCTAATTCAAGTGTTTCTCAATCCTGACTGCACACTAGAAATTACCAGTAGGACTTTTAAACCTACAAAATCCAAGACACATGCAAGACCAATCCAAGCAGAATCCCTCTGGAGATTGGGTCCAGGCAGAAGTGTCTTCAAAGCTCCTCAGGTGATTGCAATGCACAGTCTGGGTGGTCTTGCTGCCCTAATGGTGTCAGGTTATCACCAGAGCCTCTATATCTTGTAGTCAGGTGCCACACCTTGTGGTGGATTGTATGTACATTCTTTTCTTGCTGCTACTGGAGAGACATTTAGACACATTAAAAAGTGTATTGAAATCCTCCTAATTCACCTCCTCCCTGTTCTTTCCGTATACTTCTAAATTCCTTGGGAATCCAGAATCAAGATTCTGAGGTTCTGGCACCTTTTTTTTTTTTTTTTAAAGAAAACTAAGGCTGAAGTTTGAGCTCTGCAAGAATTGGTATCTTCTGTGTCTGGCCCCGATTAGGAGGCTGATCTTAGTGTTCAGAAGTCTCCCTAATTCCAACTTTTATGTAAGATGTAGTGTGTACGTAACCACATAAAGATATTCAAATGGGCGGAGAATGCCTTTGCCAAAGGAAGTGTGTCTTCTCCAGGCAGGAGCTTTTCCACATGCAAAGAGAATTCCTGAAGGAGAAGACACGGTGCCGAGCCCTGGAGGAGGAGCTGGAGAACCCCATGAACGTGCACAGATGGAGGAAGCTTGAGGTAACCTCTGGCAGAGCCTTCCTTCCACACCCCCCACCCCAATCTCTTTTTCTACCCCACGTGGCTTCCTACCTCAAGCACAATGAGAAGCGCGGTTTTATTTAATGCTATGCAAATTGTCACGTAAAATGTAAGGCTGGATCAAATGTAAACTGAGTTCTCAGAGCAAGAGTTGCCGGAACAGGATGGTTCACTTGGGTTTTGTTTAAAAAGTTTTGGACAAAAATCCTTCCTGCCTAAAGAAGACCGGGTGAACGCTGCAGACTGGCCTCGCCGATGGACATTGTTTTTCTTGTTGTAGTGCTTTTTGGTCCACCAGCTCTCCTGCGGCTGCCTGTTAGTCTCGGACTGTTTATTTCCTCTAGTTACATTGGCCACCAGCACCTTCAACCACCTTCCAATTGGCCTTTGCGTCTTTTTATTTCACACAGGAAATAGGGCTTCTTTTAAAATTAAAATTTATTGGGGTGACAATGGTTAGCGAAATTACACAGACTTCAAGTCTACAGTTCTGTAATACATCATGTATATATATCACATTGTGTGTTCACCACCCAGAGTGAGTTCTCCTTCCATCACCATAGGGCTTTTGTGAACTAGCCCTCTTTTCAGAGGACCAGCCCTGTGTTAGCCAAACGTTTTCCTTTAGGATCTGGGGGACACGGCCAAAGTCCCATCGGTAGGTGATGGATAATACAGACATACCTCGTTTTATTGTGCTTCGCTTTATTGCACTTCACAGGTGTTGCAATTTTTCTACAAACTGAAGGCAAGACTCTCCACCAGCAAAAAGATTACGACATGCTTGCTTTATTGCAATGCTTGCTTTATTATGGTGGCCTGGAACCGAACCCGCACTATCCCCGAGGTCTGCCTGTAGACCTCATATTTTGTTTTATGATGGCCATCTCCTCTAGTTGTACTCAGCAATATGAGGGCCCACAGGGGCTTCAACTAAATGAACAATTAGGGTGTTGGGAGAATATAAGGTTGTGATTTTAGGAAACGCAGGGCAAGGGAGAAAAGCATCCAAGTAGGTTTTTGTTTTTCATGTCTATATTTTCCTTTTAATGAAGAAAGCTTTAAGGATAATGCATTGTAAATTGTTATATAAACATAAGGCCTGAATTTAATGACACCCAGTCTTGCCAAGTGAATGTGCCAAATCTTGTCCCAATATATGGATATCAATTGGCACTGCTTAGTATTTCTTAAGCAAAGTCAGAGTTAAAGGAACCTCTTCCCCCACTCTCTTTTGGACCCTCATTTATTCCTCTTCAAATGCCAAGAGGGGTGTAGTTTACTAAAGTCACATAATATGGATGTGTCTGGGGAAGTGGAGCTGAAGATTTTAAATCCATTTACTGTCACATTAGTTTATTCCATGTGTTTTGAAGCAGATCTTTCAAGCTTCCAGTTCCAAGTCAATTTCAATTTAAAAAATTAGAAAATGGAGACTCTGGGAGGCAGTTGAAAATATTTAGCTGCTAGATTAATTCAAAATGTCAATACATTTGGAAGGGAAACTTTGGCTCAAAGTCTACAGGGCAGAGTATCAGTTTAGAAGTGTAGATCTTATCTGAATTGTGCACAGATAGCTACTGAAGGTGCATCAGAGCTTTGTGGATTGATAACACTATTTGAGAGCTCAATGCCATGGTTGTGTTCTGCGGCCAATTATTAGCAGAAGTCCATACCCTAGAAGACTTCCCCATCATTGGCTGTAATGAACCTTTTTGTTGACAATTATCAAAGGAGAATCTTGAGGCTGAATGAATTAGGGAATTCTGTCTCATTCCTATGGAAACAGAGATGGTTTAGGGGAAGCCTTAGAGTGTACTAATTAAGAAGCTTAGGCTGTAGAGCCTGGCACACGGGGGCTGGACTCCAGGTCTTACCAGCTCAGGTAAATGACTTAATCCTCCGAGTCTCAGTTGCCTGATCTGGAAAAAGGGAAGGCTAATGCTGTCTCACAGGGCTGTCGTGTGGCTAAAATCGAATAATGTATGAAAAGCATTCAGCATGGTGTCGTGGCAAAGAATCAGCTCTCATGCCCAGTGGGAATCATTCTTGCTGGTGTTATTATGAGTGCTATTTCCCCTGGTGGAATAAAAATATTCACTTTCCGTTTATTGGCTAACCAGAGCCAATAGATAAGATATTAGCCAAACATCCATCTGTTTTGATGACCATTCCATCTGTTATACTTTTGTTTTTGGTCCTGATTCTCTCTGTCCTGGGTCTGTGGGTTTGCAGTAAACTTATTACTAAAAGAATCATTACTTTGCACAGGGGCCTTGGTGCTTTGAAACTGATGGTATCTCAACTGCTTTATTTTGTTCCCCTTGAACAGGCCAGTGACCCCAGTACCTTTGAGCTGATACAGAAAATTCACACCCTGCAGAAGCGTCTCATTGGCAAGACAGAAGAGGTGGTTGAGAAAGAGCTGCTCCTTCAGGTAGCATTTTCCTTCTCTGTACTCCTTGCGCAAGCATATTTCCTGAGCACCACCATCTCCAGGACTGCTTTTTTCGAATTAGCTGTTTGGCAGGGTTGCATACCCCATTTTAAACTGTAGATGGCAACAGCAACTCACACACAGAGAACAAACAACCTGATTAATTGGTCTTTTATGCTGCTATCCCTGATATTTCAAGAATTTTTGGAAAATAAGTTCAAGGCTAGACGTACTGCATTGGAAACTGTGAGCTTTCCCACCCCCACCCCCTTCTCTACAGTTTATTTGTCAGATTGTTTTATATACTTTTCTTCATATCTTCACATAATGTGAAGTGCCACAATTTTGATTTTGAAAATTAGCTTTTACATGGAGCACAATATGTCCTCTGAAGATTTGTGAGAGTGAAATGGGAGGAAAGATTTTTCTTTTAAGATTTGGTGCAGTAAGTTATTCAGGAGCAATCAGGAATGGTGACACCCTTTTAGGCCTGTATCTTTGCAAGCATCAGTTGTCATCACCATCATCAGCATCATGTTGGATCCTGTGCTGGTGGCTTTACCTATCTTGTCTCAATTTCTTCTTCACGGTTCAGGGGTGGGTGTTGTCATCCCCAATGAATGAATGAGGAAGTTGGGTCCGAGAAACTTAGTGTGGTAATTAAGGTAAGCTGTGGTGTTGGATGGCTTGGGCTGGAATTCTGCCTCTGCCAGTTTGCAGCTGTGTGAGACTTACTTCTCTGCATTTGAGGTTATTAATCTACATGATGGGTAATAGTAGAACCTGGGAAAAGGGATGTTGTAAGGCTTGAAAGAGCTTAGCATTGTGCTTGGCACATAATAAGTATCTAATAAACATTAGCCATTATTCTTATTATCTATAATTCCAAAGCACGTAATCTTAACCTCTAGGTTACCATTAGTAAGAGTAGAAACTTCTATATACGAGCCAGGGGCATTTGCCCCATCTCTTTACATTCTACCTTAAAAAAGACACCTTCCCTGAAGTTGGGTTATACAGTAAGTACCTTTCCAGAGCACCGCTCCAGGGATGTTCCTCTTCTCTTATAGATGAGCAGGGTGGTTAAGAGAGCTAACTTCCGAGTCAGAAAGATCTGGTCTTGAATCAGCTCCAGTGCTTTATATTTCATGATTTGGGGAGAATTACATAAGTTCTCCAAACCTCAGTTACTTCATCTGTTAAATGGGGATAATGACACCCAGTTTTGTTATGGGAGGAAGATACACCAGAGTATATAACTTGGATGTCCTGTTGTAAGGATAGCCAATTAGTGCATGGGCACTGGGGTCTGGCAGCCCAGGGTTTGAACCGTGGCTCCACCAATGCCAGCCACGAGTCACCTGCCTAGGGCCATGCAGCTGCTTAGTGGCAGAGAGGGAATTAAGCAGTCAGCTCCGTAGCCCATACTTTCTACCACTTCATCACCCTGCCTCTCCTGTTATTATCACCTCGTCAGTTTTAAAAAGAACCAAATTTTGTTTCTTGCCAAGTCTCTCTATTGTAAAATCATGTCATTCTTCCTCGACAACTCTAACTTTATTATTTTCTTCCTTCCTTCTACATACTTTGGGTTTATTCTGTTTTTTTTTCTACCTTCTTAAGATTGACATTCAGTGCATTAATGTTCAGTCTAACTTTCTAATATAAGCATTTATAGCTATAAAGTGTCCGTTAAAATTTTCTTTAGTTCCTTCCCACAGGCTTTGAGATGTTGTATTTTCATTTTCATTTTGTTCTAAATGTTGTCTATTTTCAGAATTATTTCTCTTTTGAGTAAGTGTTAAAAATATTCACTATTTCTCTTATGGTAATTGAAAGTGCAACTTTAAATTTCCAAATGTACATGTATTTAAGTTATGTTTTACTACCGATTTCTCACTTTCTTTTTTTGCATTGTGGCCTGTATTACGTTGAGTCTTTGGAATTTGTTTGGACTTGCTTTGTGACTCACTAAGTGGCCAGTTTTTATAACTGATGCCTAAGTGCATATAAAGGCTATATTCCCTCTAAATGTTCAAGATTCAGGAGTCTATATGATGTTCATTAGATCAACCTTGCTAATTGTATTGTCCAAATCTATATCTTTCCAAATTTTTTGTCTGCCTAATGACTGGAAAAAAGTTTGGAGGTTTATCTATTTCTCCTTGTAGTGCTATCATTTTTTTTGCTTTAAGTACAGTATGTATTATGTTCATGAGCTGAATAAAAGGTTACGATTTTTATTTCTTCCTGGTGACTTGTTCCTTTATAATATACAAGAGCCCTTTTTAATTCTTAATGCTTTTACTTACAAAATTGTTTGATATTAATATAGCCCAGGAGTTTTCTTTGCATAATTTTTCTATATTTTATTTATTTATTTATTTTTATTTTTTTAGCTGAGCCATCCTGCCACCTGTTGGCAGCTCAGTGGGAGCTCAGCTCGGGCCGGGACTTGAACTGCTGTTGTTCAGAGCTCACACGCTTGAGCGAGCTCTTAACCAACTGAGCCACTCGACTGGCCCAATTTTTCTATATTTTAAAACTTTTGGTGTCCTTTTATTTTAGGTGAGTCTCTCTTTTTCTTCTTTTCTTTTTTCCCTTAAATATATAGCTTACAAAGTAATAACCCTGGTAAGTCTAGTATCCATCTGACACCACAAATGGTTATTACAATATTATTGACTATATTCCCTATACTGTACTTTACATCCCCATGACTATTTTTATAGCTGCCAATTTGTATTTCTTAATCCCTTCCCCTTTTTCACCCTTCCCCATAAACCCCTTCCATATGGCAACCATCAGTTTGTTTTCTTTATCTATGAGTTTGTTTTTGTTTTGTTGGTTCGGTAATTTTGTTTTTTAGGTTCCATATATAAGTGAAATCATACGGTATTTGTCTTTCTTAGTCTGACTTATTTCACTTGGCATAATACCCTCTAGGTCCATCCATGTTGTCACAAATGGCAAGATTTTGTTCTTTTTTATGGCAGAGTGATATTCCGTTATATATATATGTACAACATCTTCTTTATCCATTCATCTATCTCTGGTCAACTAGACTGCTTCCATATCCTGGTGTAAATGATGCTGCTGTCAATGTAGGGGTGCATATAGCTTTTTGATTCAGTGTTTTGGATTTCTTTGGATAAAGATGTCTGTTCCTACTTTCCATTAGACTGAGTTTTTTGAATTCCCTTTTTTCCCCCTTCACCCATCACTTCTCCCTCCTCACTACTCCCTATTCCCCCTTTTTCCTGATTACTTATTCTGAATAGTTACCACCACTCAATGGAATTCATTCATTCTCTCACTCATGGATTTCCTTAAAAATTTAACATGCGTAGTTAACATCAATCTAGATGAACCTAACTCTGCTCAATATCTTTATTCTTCTTACAGACAACATGAAGACTCAGAATGCTTTATACACTGTCATTACCCCTACAATCCTCCCAGCATTATTTATTACCATTATTATTTTATAGAGTCAATAAATATTTACTCAGGGGTACCAAGATATTTACCAGTTCTTTTGTTTTCTATTTCTTCATATCTCCAATTCCTTATTTCTAGGTTCCACCTCCTTTTTTTTTTTTTTTTTTTAAGCTGAGCCATCCTGCTACCCATTGGCAGCTCAGCGGCTGCTCAGCTCGGGCTGGACTTGAACCGCTGTTGCTCAGAGCTCAAACTCTTGAGCGAGCTCTTAACCAACTGAGCCACTCGGCCGGCCCCTCCACCTCCTTTTTAAAGTATAGCCTTTCATAATTCTTTCAGCAATAAACTTTTCAGTAGTTAATCCTCTTTGTTTGCTTGTCTGAAAAATGTGTGTGTGTGTGTGGTTTTGGCTTTACTATAAGTGATTAAGTTGAAATCCTATTTTCTACTCGCCATTTGATGTTAGTCCTTTGTGTTAGCTTCTAACGATGCTATTGAGAAGGCTGTTCAGTCTAATTATTATTTCTCCTTTTTGATTACTTCTTTTGATTATTTTTGATTATTTCTTCTGTTTGATTACTAGAGCTTTTCTTTGTCTTTGGTGTTCTGGAATTTCAGCACAATACATTCAGTACGAATTTAGTTTTACTTACTACGCTTAGGACTCACTGTATTTCCTGAGTCTGAGGATTCCTATGTCTTTGAATAGTTTCTCCTTTATTCTTTGTTCACTCCTGAAACTCTTATTAGATGATCGTTTTCTCATTCTTTCTTCCTTAGCTACTCACCTCTTTGATATTTTCTTCTCTTCATCTCTTGTTTTACACATTTTTCTCAGCTTTATCTCCTTGTTTATTAAATATTTCTTTAGGTGTACTTATCTGCTAATAGCCAAGCCAGGAAGATTTTATTTTCAATGATTTTATTTTTATTTTCTAGAGATTCTTTTTCACATATGACTGGTCTATGTTGATAGTGTCTTGATCCTTTCTTATACTTCTATTTCTTTCTTTATGTCTTCAATTAATTTAAACATCTTATAGTCTTTATCTGATTGTTGTGTAATTTGAAGGCCTTGGGGGGTCTTTCCCTATTGTTATTGTGATTGCTGACTTTCATTTACAGTGGATCTTTTTCCTTTTGTGCTGTGATTTTGGATTGTTAACTCATTTTCAGAAAGACTTTAGTTATAGGGCTTGGGAATGGTTCAGGTTAAGGGTATATCTTTTCGTTTGTTTCTGCCACATGCCTAGGAGTTATCACTTGCTTAGGATAATTTTTAGGTTTAATTCTCACTTTGGGGCTTCCTGGACCACTTGGCAAATGAATATTAGACTCTTAAATTCTTGTAATAGAAGACCTATGGGTACAAATACAAATTCTCAGGGTAGCCAATCTTTTGTCCCTACCCAGAGCTCAGAAGGGATAGTTAGGTTTCCTTTTGGTCTTCCTGTCCCAGTGGGTAGATTTCTGCCTATTGTCTCCTTTTCACTGGGGATGTAACTCTTTTAAGTCCCTTGCTTTATGTGGAGTAGTCTCAGTACCAACTACCCACTCCA